CAACATAAATAAAAGATAGCATTGTTATCTGCTAAAAACATCAAAACTTCTAAACTTCAGTGTAGTGGAAGAGGTATCTACTCTGCAATATGTTTGGTAATTAAATGGATATTAATTGTGCATTTTCTTCATGGGTTGCTGCATAATGAAGTTTCAAGCGACTATAGCACACATCCATCAATTCGGTTGATTAGATTCATCACCAGAAATTAGAAGTGTAATTTTGGAAAATTAAGGTTTCAAAATCGATTCTTTTTTAGAATCAGATATATACAGCCAAACACGGTAATAGACATTCTTGTGTGAAGGTGGAAATGATCGGATTGTGAGTTAGATTAGGCAAACCTAATGTTAAAATTGACATGAAATCGACATACTTTTGGATGTCCAGGCGTTTTGGTCGCTTCCTCACGAAATCAAATCGAAGTCGCATGGTAGGGTTAGGATCAGATGGTAGGAGCAGTGGTTGTTCTAAGCGGCGTAATGGCTGAGGCAAGCGGTTTGCTCGTTGCCTTCTGAGACCGCCTGAATACCGATCAGCCCTTTTTGTTCTTCATGCACCAAAATTGAGGGAAAGAGAGTTTTATTCAAACCCTAGCTTTCTCAATTTACCCAAATCAGCCCCGTTAGTTGTATTTCTTCTTATTCCTCCCATAGTAAAACATTATCTTTAGTCTTTAGTACGGGATCTCTCGATGGTAAAATGAAATATGATTTTTTTGGCTTTTGTGATTGCGCGGTGCTTAGGGTCCTCCTAAACGACGCATAAGTGGCGTAATGTCAGAAACCCTAATCGACAGATCGCGACGCAAAAGTTAGGATACGGTAACATGATTTGATCATGTTAGTAGGACGCATCATGTAAGGCTCTCCTAAGCAACATGTCGATAAGTATTTACAGAAGCATATTGTTTGTTTTTCAGTTTCGAGTATGTTTTGGTCACGCTTATGCATCTGACTTGGATCTCATGTGAATCTATTGGTTTTACAAAAGTTAGATATCGTTTGCTTGTTGTTTTAAATATTTTGTTGTAATTTTTAATTAATAACAAAATCATGACATTATTGTTTAGATGATTAATCGCATGTGAGATCATAGAAACAGTTATATGTCGACTTTCTTTCAATTTTATGGTTATCAAGGTTGTAAAAAGCGTTCGTCGGTGGACTGAGAGATTAATCGGATGATTAACTGGGGACCCTAAATTGATAGTTTATTGAATTTTTAAAGGGAGTCGGTCCTACCCATAAAGGTGAAGGACCAAACACTAGATCGTTGCAAACACTTCTTTTCCTTTGATTAAGTTATATTAGTAGCAGATTTCAGCCAATCTTTCCGGGCCAAGCTTAGAGCACGTGAAGCTCATAACTGCCTCGTAAGGGCTTTAAGGGCTTTGAGACCATAACATGTTACACGAAAGTGTCGCTTTCTCTATGATATTGTCACACAGTTGTCCGCCTAGAGGAGCTACTTGCTTTGTAGTGTTGTCACACAAGATAAGCACACCGCCCGCCTGCTGACCGGGCAAATCTAAGTTCTCTTCCGCTTAACTGTCCACCTAGTCAAGTGAAAAAATAGTAGAATCACATAACACACGCTGCTAGTGTGCTTCATGTTCCTAAGGAAAGAAATAAGAGCGACAAGGTTAAGTTTAGATTCAACTGTTTGCAGCATGGGAGCAGATTACCCAAAAAATATTTGGGAAAAACAAAAAAAGATATCTCAGTAACTAGAACGGAATTGCTCTGTCCAGATTCTCATCCGCCCATTCAAGAGAGCCCATTCAAGAGATTCTTCGTGTCGGGTCGTGAGCTATGTGGAGTGATAAAAAAATTGGGATAAATATGACTAATATCATAACAAAGTTCATAAATACCACTAATATCATAAAAAAAGTTAATATGATTAATACAAAATAATCATTCCTCAAATAGTTTCTGAGATAGAACCTCTTCAAAGTGTTAAAATTTCATTGTTTTCTACTCTTTTGCTTGTTGTGTAAGAATAGATTAATCGCTAAGCGCTTTCTAGTAGGTCGGGTAGCGCCTAGAGAGTAATCGAAGATTAATCGAGATCTAGTCAGGATTTTTACAACATTGATGGTTATTAAGTTGATCTATGACGACATATAGTTTATATGACTCTATTCCAATGTCATTGGCCGCGTACCAATAACATCGGACTAGGGGGACTTGATGATATATGGTCCAATAGCATGGCTTAGACTGCTCTAGAGCGCCAACTTGGCCTGGCGCGCTCCTGCCAGCCCTACCTGGCGTTCCCTTGCCAGCCTTGCTTGGCGCTCCTTTGCCTAACGTCCGCTTCCCGGCCTTTCCTGGTGCGCGCCCGCTAGCCCCGCCCGGCGCCTCCGGGCGGCCTCGCTCAACTCCTTGCTAGTTGGGCCTGAATTAGGTGACCTAATTCCCCTTGACCTAATTGTCCACCGTAAATAGAATAGCGCCTCCTCCATGAAGGAGGACTCTTCCCCAAGTAGCTCAGCCACCATTAGACCTCTCCCCATAGCTCAGTCGCTACGATATACTCCGACCGGGTGGCTTAACCGCCACCCGCCGCTGTAATCCACCACCAGCAACACCAAGATGGTCCTCTCCAGCTAAGGAGAACCATCTTAGATCTACCAGCTGATCTAACTGATCGTCGGAGTCTGCTCTTGGGGCACAGTCCCTGGGGCGGCTCTAACGACTTTGCTCTGTGATATCCAAATCTCCGCCGCAGCAGCAGACCAGAAGAAAAACCGCCAGAGGTCAATGTCACATCATTTGGCGCCATCCCGGACTTGAACAAGTAGCCACCATCTCAGTTGGTCTCAAGCTCATTTTTGCCGTTATCTAAGGTTTGCCCAGATTTATTCATTTCTACATCCCTTAGTTCAGATCCATCTGGATCTTGGCAAAAATCTACCCATATATGATTATCTATGTTTCTGATCTTTCGATCTAATGCACCTTTTGTTCAGATCTATAGATCCACTTCATTTTTAGCTCAGATCTCTAGATCTGAGCGTTTTTGTTCACTTAATCACCTCTCAAGTTTAAAAACAGAAACTCAAACCCGTTTTTACTTATATTTTCGAGGAGAAAAGTGGCTATTAGGAGCTCTTCTCCATCTTTGTTCATATTTTGGTGTTTTATCCACGCAACTTGAGAGTTGAAGAACTTTTTTCGTAATTATTCCCATTATTTCCAATCTATGCTACAAAAAATCACTTTCAGTTTATGATTTTCTTTGCAAAACTCCTTTGAAGTTGTCTATTTATTATTTTCTTTAAAAGCTTAGAGATAGAAAATGAAAATTTCTCAGATCTGTTGGTTGTCCATATTTTGATGGCTTGTTAAGCAAGTTGTAGAGAAAAGAAGGTTTTATGAGAAGAAAACCTCATTAGATCACGTTTTTTGTTTATATCATGGGGGTTTTCAGCAAGATTTGATAAGAAAAGAAACTTTTGTTGTTTATTTGGTGTTTTTTATTTAGAAGTTTGAGAAAAGATAAGGAGAGTTTTTCATGGGTTTTTACCCCACTTTCAGTTCATATATTTTTAGAAACCCTCTTTTTTGTTTAGGATTTTATGTTTACAAGTTTACTCAAGCTATATAGAAGTCTGGAGAAGGAAATGGATTTTATGAATTTTAACCCTCTCAAGTTATCAGAAAATCTATTTTCCCATATGAGTATTTCTATATATATTTTGCAAAGAATTTTTCAGATCTATCTTTTGTTCCTTATTTTGATGGTTTAGTCCATCTTTAAGGAGAAAAGAATCTCTTTTTCAAATGCATCTAAATGTACAACTTTATTTAAGTTGTGTTGTAATTCTTGTACATTTCAAAACTTTTGTTAGGTTTATTTTTACCCCATAGTTTTACCATCAGTAAATGGTTTTAAAAAAAAAAGAGGGGGAGAAAGAAGGAGACTTCTACAAGAAAAAGTAATACACAAAATAAAAGACGCATACAAAATCAAGTGTGTAAGAAAAATCTTTACAGATCATGTTTATAATAAATTGTACAATATTAGAAAAATGAACTGTGACTCCTAAGCCTCTAAACAACAAAAGAAAAAAGAAAGGAAGGGGAAAGGTGGCTGGATCCCACCAATGCATGTACATGTTGCATTTCGATTGGTGGACTAATAGCGAAAAGTAAAAAGGTGGGACCACCTTGTCCATTTACCTTCCCAAAAATTCAGATCCTATCTCCCGGAGACCAAGTGTGACAACCTGTAATTTGTATCTTGTACAAGTCAAACTTGGTCAATTAAAGTCAAACATATCAATCAAAGGTCAAACTTATTTCTTTTATTATCTTAATATAGTTAGGGTAATCAATTTATAGGTGTATTAACCTAGCATTCTTAAGTGTTGTGTGTTTTGGAGGAAATCATTTTGGACCGAGAACCCTCGCAAGGGCCGTAAACTCTCGGACCGCAAACGAGCCTTCGCGACCGTAAACATCCTTCATTCTCGGCCGTAAACTCTTCGGGCTGTAATCAGACTTCGGATTGTAAACCTTCGGTTTACGGCAGTGAACTCACCCCTATATATATATATATATATATATAGGAGTAGGATCAAATGAGAACACCTTAAAAGGTTGAGAAAGCGAGAACACATCTGAACCATTTAAAAAACTAAATCTAAGGCTATTATCGAATGGGCCATTTATGTAAATTCTTAAAATTAAAGGAATTAAAGTGTAACTTTAAAACTGTTATAAGGGTAAAATGGTAATTGATTGTTTACCTATGTTTAGCAATTCCTACAATCACTCTCTATCTCTCTCTCTCTCTCTCGTATCTCTCCCTCTATAGCCCTGCTTCTGCATTTTTCACAACCCTATGGCCTCCTCTTATTCCAGCCGCCGCTGGGCATGAAGAAGATGAGCGGATGGGTCTTCGGTTTCGTGCATATGTACTCCATTAATTTGGTCAAAATCGAGTGTGAATGAGAGAGAGAGAGAGAGAGAAAGTGCAAGGGGGATTAATGGGTTGTTTTTCTTGCGTTGATTCGAGGGTGGAGGAAAAATCGAATCATCAAAAAGTTGGGGCTGATCGTCCTGAAGTTCACCCATCTACCCCTCCCAACAATTTCAGCCCTGATTGCTTTTTAGGGGCGAGAGGCTTCGACCATGTTTATAGAGGACGTCTTCAGGGCGGTGGTCAGGTATAATCATTCTGTTTTTCTGATTCTACAATCTTTATTTATTGTTTCAAAGTATATATAATCTTATAACTTACAAAAGTATATAATCTTTTATAATAGGTTGTAGTTGTGAAACAATTGGATAGAAACGGGCTTCAGGGTAACCGTGAATTTCTTATTGAAGTTCTTATGCTTAGCCTTTTACATCATCCCAACTTAGTGAATTTGATTGGGTATTGTCCTGATTGAAGGGACAAAGATAAACGGAAGCAGTCGGCTAACAGGTAACCTTCTTGTTTCATTTTTTTTTTTGTGTCGACTTCAATCGATAATGAACTGGGATGTTTTCTTTTGATTGTTTTGATTGAAAATTGATGAATGTTTGGGTTGAGGCTGATTTGTCTAAATGGTCCAAACAAGTGGTTGGATCCGATTCTTGGTTGATTAATGGGTGGAAAGAAGCACCATTTGTGCTCTTGCTGTCGATGGGAGAAGAAAGAGGAAGGCAACTGCGTTGTCGGCTACTGTTACAACATTCAATGGGGTGTTTGGTTGATTTGTTTGGAAAAGGAAGGAAGAAGCCAAGGGAAGAGTTAAATGAATTCAGTTTATATTTCGATGTACTTTTATTTGTTCTTGAAGATCAAAGAAAATCTGGCCATATCAATTTTTAGATGTGAAGGACGTGATTTTGATTTTACCAAATTTATTGTGAATTGAAATGGTGCTTGGGTGTAAAATTGGGTGAAGAAATAGTCCAAGCATAAGAAAGAGTGCACGGCTGTGTTACCCAATTCGTGTGTATATTTAGCGATTTGGTTTGCTGGATGATATATAATTGGATGTATTCATTTATCATCAGATGTATTCATTTTATGAAGGAATATTAATTTTTACACTATTTTTACTTTGTATTTATTTATGAATAGCAGCATTTTTATTTGTGAATAGCAGTCTATGCATATGTGAATGACTGTATTTATTTTTGAATAACATTATATTCATGTGTAAATAAGTGTATCTATTTATGATTAAAGGTATTCACTTTTTTAAGAAATGATAATTTTTATACTATTTTTATTTTTATTTGATGAAAAAAGGCATTGGATTATTTGTAAATTTGATTATTTGAAAATTGAAGTTTATTCATTTGTGATTGGAGTCGTATTAAGTTTTTTGAATAAAATTTTCATTTTTGAATACAAGTGTATTCATTTGGGATTGGATTTCTATTCATTTTTTGAAAAAAAAAATGTGAAATACGAGAAAATTTTGATTTTTTTTAAGAATTTTTTTTTTCAGTTTTAAAGTAAATTTTGGTAAAAATGTTTTATATATTCTATTAATAAGAAAAATAAAAAATTGAATATAAATTTGTTTTTGGTAACTGATCCTAAATTTAAGGGATGTGATTGAATTTTATTGTATTTTTATTTAATTAAAATATACAATTACTAATATACCCTTATATATTGATTGGTCCAGAACTGTTCTCGCATTCTCAACATTTTAAGTGTTCTCATTTGATCATTTCCCTATATATATATATATATATATATATATATATATATATATATATATATATATATCGGTGTTGACTGATTTTTGACTCACTTCTACACTTCCGACCACAAACACACCCATTCTCTCCCAAAGATCATCAAATCGTAAACCCTCTTTTCTCTCATCTATCATCCGAAGATCCTCCAATTCACATTCAGATCTTGTTGTGAATCATCAAAAGTTCTCCTTTCAGCAATCAAGTGTTCTTTATTCTGGGTTTTCGGCGGTGAACACTTCAAATCTTCAAGGGACGTGAACCCTTTATGGCCGTGAAGACCGAAGGTTGGTCGTGAACATCAGGCAGATTCTTGATTTCTATTCTAACACTCCTTTTGTAAGTGTTCCTTACATCCTAGGTTGTTTTCCTAATACCTTTGAGGTTATATTCACTAATTTCATGCCAATATGTTGCATAAATTGCTATTTAGGACTTGTTTTGTCCCGGGAACTAGCTTGTGAAATCAATCATTCTATATGGTACATTCAATCGAATTACACCCAAAAGGTGAGGTCATACCCCTACAATATACAATTTTAAATGCTTTTAAGGGGGGAATACAAGTAGAACACAATCTATATTTTGTTAACATTTACATGTGAAAATATGTAGACAAAGGATTTCTTATGATTTTATAAGTTGTTAAAATCATTTCAAAAACTATTTTAAACTATTTTAAACTTCTTTTTATATCAAAATCATATTCGAGTATATATTTATGTATAAATATGCTTTAACGGACTTAGGACTATTGCTAAATTTCCTTTAACACATTCTATATTATGTTAACATTTACATGTGAAAATAAATAGACAAAGGATTTCTTATGCTTTTATAAGTTGATAAAATCATTTCAAAAACTCTTTTAAACTTCTTTTTATATCAAAATCATATTCGAGTATAGATTTATGTATCAAAATCATATTCAATAAAAAAATTTAGGACTTGTTTTGTCCCGGGAACTAGCTTGTGAAATAAATCATCATATATCGAACATTCAATCGAATCACTCCCAAAAGGTGAGTTCATACCCCTTAATATACAGTTTTAAATGCTTTTAAGGAGGGAATATAAGTAGAACACAATCTATATTGTGTTAACATTTACATATGAAAGTAAACAGACAAAGGATTTCTTATGCTTTTATAAGTTGTTAAAATCATTTCAAAAACACTTTTAAACTATTTTAAACTTCTTTTTATATCAAAATCATATTCGAGTGTATATTTATGTATAAATATGCTTTAACACACTTAAGACTATTGCTAAATACCGTTACTCTTGTTCCTTGTTTGGTTGTGGGCTTAGGGTAGGATCACTAGTCCGACTGTCGGTAAAATTATAGTTATACTTGCTAAATATATGCCTGAATATTAAACTCCATTTTCAAAAGTACATACTTAAATCAATTGCACACGTTGAACAATTGAGTCTTTTCTACAAATCAGTAACAGTTCAAACAAACATACTAGTAAACTATAATAAGTATAGTTTAGAGGATCACTACATACTATTTCTAGAACAGAGAAACATACATGAGTCAATACATACATACTATTATTATTCATTATAGAGTATACTATAAAAAGAACAAGAAGGAACATACATACTATGACAAGAACAAGAAGGATCATACATATTATAACAAGAACATATAATTAAAATGTGAGATACTATTTCATGGCATAACAATATACTTGCTGTGTCACGTTTTGTAACCAGAGTCTCCTAGAGGGAGAGCTTGAGTTTGTGTATAGATCTATAGGGGATTGACCATCCCACACCTTGCTGCTAGCTACAGTGGGACCTGCAGGTCTATAGGTGACAAATTTCATACCATTTTCGACGTCTGAAGAACGTCGTGTTTTATACTAGTCAATCGACTATGGTTACAACCTAATCACATTTTAACCTTAATTAACAGTTTGGTTTTTAAGGTAGTTAGTGCATCAGTAGGGTATTTTACACAACACTACTGTAAAACTTCATTTTCCATTACATTCATACAATGATAATCTCACATGAGAAATGCATACAATTTTTCGAGTAAAGGTAGTTATTTATATGGAAAAACATACATTTATACTATTTCAAGTACAAACATACATTTATACTATTTCAAGTACAAACATACATTTTACACTACATTTAAGAGAACAGAGCATACAAACAGTTGAGTCTTTTAGCAGACTATTTTTCGTTTAAGAAGAAAATATAGGATTTTCAGGGAAAGATACAAACATTTTACTGGTCTGATACAAACATTTTTGCTAAACAAATACAAACATTTTCATGAAACAAATGCAAAAACTTGACACTAAAATACTTATGAACTCACCAACTTAAATGTTGATACTCTCTTTCAAAATAACTTGTATTCTCAGGTCACCAGTAGATAGGTACACTGGACCAGGTTTTGAGAAGACGGAGCATGTTTAAGACTCTTATTTTATTTTGTTATTTATACATTTTTGGTGTTATAAAACTATTCACTAAACACACTTGTATAAACTATATTATTAATACAATGGATGTTGTTGCTTGTTTTACTATTATGTATTGTTATGATTTTGTACATGACGTCCTCCGCCCCCGAACGTTTCCACCATTTTGGTTTGGGGGTGTGATAGATTGGTATCAGAGCTTTGTTTATGGTGAATTGAGTATATCAACCCATAAAAGATTTACAACTATAAACACTTGGGATTAAAACACTCTGACCAAGATTTATACTTTTAAAATAATAAAATATTTTACTAAAGCATACATACATGCATTTATGCTAAGAACAATGTCATACTAGAACAGAACAAAAGTATTGTGATTGTTGAACAACACAAGTAGGCTTGGTGATATATAATCAAGTCTAGGATTGCTATAGCCTGATCAACTATATCTATCTGAGAAGTGATTAGCATATGCCTAGGAATGGTTGTGGTGTTGCAACTAGTTTAAAAGCTTACCAACTATACTATCAAGAAACACTAGAACATAACATAAACTTAAAATACTATAAGAGTATTTTGTGATACTATAATTACTTATGTGAAAACTAAAAAGTACCTTTACTAGTAGGCCATTTCTCTTTACTTCATGTTCCTTGTTTGGTTGTGCACTTAGATTTGGATCACTTATTCGAAGGTGTATTCTATCTTTAGTTATATATAGCTGGTATGCACTATGTAAGTATAGAAGTAACTGATAAGGATCATTTTATAATTATATTTGGTAGTACATCTATTATATGTTTCTTACACATCTATTCTCGCTTAGATAACATGGCCGGATTCCATCTACCTGTCGACCCCTACTTTCCCGATCAAGGGAACGGTGGATGGCTTAGAGCTGAACCTGAGGAAGACAACACGATTGTCCCAGAAGACGAAGACTTTGAGGAGAGTTCTAAGGAGGAGAATGAAGATGAAATTCAAGAAGACTCTGACTCGGAACCCGAGTCTATAATCCACCTCAAGTTACCTAAAATCCTAACCCTCGATAGGATTTTCAAGGCCCAACGCCTCTGTGGGCAGTAAACTTGGGAAGGTGGAGCCACGAACAGGGGCAACCACATCCTTATAATGGAGACCAAAGCTTCTATAACTTGAACGAGGGAGGCTCAGCTATCAGAATCCTACCTATCTTGGTTCGCCATGTTGCTCGCAATGCTGAACAAGGGAGGGCAACCATT